AAACACATTTAGCAGTGTAGGTCTCATTCCAAATGGCCACTTCGACTTGGGATCCTTTCCTGGTTAGATCGCTTGGCTGGGTGATCCTTTTTGGACCTTTATTTATAGTCCGAAAAGGATCGCTTGGTGCTTAGGTAAATCGCTGAACAAGACAATTAAACCTTCCAGCTTCTCTTTTTTGTTCGTTGTTTATTTTGTTGTTGTTGTCAACCATCTTTTTAAACAGCTGGCGATTTTCATAGTTGATAACCCTATAATCCCATTCTGTTTCATTTTTGTGGAACAGTTTCTCCTTTCTGTTTCCGCGCTGTCATTTATTATTTCAGTTTTAAGTATATTTCTATACAGTAATTCTTGCAGCTATATCTCTAATGATGTTAAATAGTTAATTAGTTAGCGAGAGCAGAGACGGGCTTAATTATGGGATTTTTTGGGAATTAAGGGTAACTGCAAGTTAATTTTCCCTTTGACTCCTTCCTCACAACAGTGACAGCCGATTGATTTCGTTCAAAAATTATTTTGAAGGTTTTAAAACAAATTTGAAAAGCTACCTGGGAACAGATGGGTAACCCGTCCGATATGATATCTGTATTATGATTAATAGCAGAATAATTTCATCCGTATTAGTATGTATTTGTCAAATCCACAAAGAGGGGTGGAACTAACAATAAGGGTGCGAATTGGACGAGTAGGAGCCCAATACATAAGGGACAATCCTTAACACTTTGTCCAGGGCATTCATAGTCCAACTAGAACTAACGTCTTGTGAAATAAATGGGATTTTTTTGTATGCTGTTTGTTTAGAACAATGTAGATTTTTCAATGCTTTATACATAACATTACCAGTCACATTTTCAAAATCACAGTATTTGACAGATAGGAACAGTTACGACATGAAAAAAATGACATTGAAATTCATTGTAGTAGTTTACTCCATGCCTAAAATGGGAGATAGGCAATTGAATCGTTTCTGTGTAATCGGCCCGCCGCACGCGGCAGTCGCGGACTAGTTGCCTCNACTTCTTTTATTCCTGTGTCCCTTACTCGCTGCGCTGCCACTGCCTCATTCTTCTACGTTCCTTCGTGCGCGGCGTCGCTCTCGCCGCGAAGCGATCATTTCGGTTCAACTGCACCACACCCTCTACATGGCTTTCATACAATGGGGTCATTCTCATCGGTCCTGCCCTGCCAGCTAGTCCTATTAGGCGGTTCAGGTGTTATGCATTACTGAGTGAAATGCTCGTTCCCAATAAAAACATACTGCCTCGAGTTCTCCACACGATCATCAGTAAACTTGACTTTAGTAACAGAATCCCAGGTATCGGCGAAAAAATGGGATAGTATTAGCCTAACGAATCTGAAGTCCTAGTATGAGCCGCGCGCTGTCGCGAAGCGGTCATACAGAATGTGGTGATCTGTAGGCGCCCTCGAAATTTCACTTGATTAAGGATTCCTATAATAAGGGACAATTTTTATTACTAATACTATAAACAGTGGAAGCCTTCTCGACCGCACGCGTCTCATGATGTCGACTGCTGAGTAGACGGCGTAGCTGACGCATACTCGTTTCCTGGTACAAATACATATTTGAGTCGTAGGCGATAGGTGAAACCCTCCCCGCCGGTTTTGGGAAGTTCTGGTGATCCTCACGCTNTTCTCGAGATCCTGCCAGTAGTGCCCTCTCCTGGGCCACGTCCTCTGACAAAAAACAAATGACAAATAGATACACAGTCGGTGAAGTAACTATGATGAGAAATACGAGAGCCATGATGTAGTCCATTCGACGGGATATCTATAAAGAACACTGTATTTGACTGCCAATAGCCCATTTGATTACACAAAAACTGATGTAGTAAAACAAATTGAGATACAACTTAGCTAAGCTTTATACCAGTTTCAATGAAGTTTTGCCCTCCCACGTCCATTTCCCTATAGTATTCAATGGGAGACGGGCAGTAAGATTGGTTTTGTGTAATCGCTGCGCGCGGCACTCGCGGACCATTCGGCTCGTTATTACGGTTCAAGCGTTCTTCATGTAACTCAATCTATACGCGATTATTATATTTCGCATGATTCTAATCTTAGTTCTTTTGTTCCTTTACTTCTTACTTGCTGGTGCATTCTGCTACATTTCTTCGCGCGCGGCGGCTCTTGCCGCTACGCGACAGTTTCGATCCTACTGCACCACACCAAGCAATTAAATACGGGTTTGCTGCACGGACGCACCAGGCTCGGGTACCGGTCGTGAGGCTTTAACATGACCCACAGCATGTGACCCAGCATGTGCATTGTGTGCGTTCCGTAGAGCCCATTCGGTTCAAGTTGGCCGTATGTAGCGCGCTGTAGCCACGATGGCACCTTTTGACCCTCTTCTTCTTGTGCCTTGACGAGTAACCGCCACCGTTGGGAACATTAAACTTGTGAATGAAGGATTCTGGATTATTTCTAGACTGTGTGGTGATGGCGATTGCTGTGCGTGGAGTCCCTCTCCCTTGAGGGTACATTTTGGAAAATTTCGCAAATTCATCTTACTGATTCGACGCGCGCAACAACGCGAATTCAGAAAACTCTTTTTGAATGTCAGTTATTAATCTCAATACAAATTTAGTATCACGTACTTCGGCCCATTGTTCTGCTACCAATTGACGCGTCCAGTTAGCTGCATTCTGAAAAATGTTAATCTGGAAGTTTTCCTTGCAGTCATTCCAGCAGAAATGAGCCTTCAGACTCTCCTAGGTAGTGCAACCCACTTTGCCGCCACTTATTGACGGAGGACCAAATTCAGCTTTCCGAATAAACAGGTATCGCAACAGCCATTTTGGAGGAGGTGACGATTTGGAAGCAGTTCCCTGAAAGTTGTCAGAAAAGTCAGGCTTATAGAGTAGGCAAATAGGTTTAAAACAAGTTTCAAAGTAAGTGGAACCACATACCCTGGAATGAACTCGCATCACAATCGATGTAAGAATAGTGGCCAGAGTTACCATAATAATATTGTAATGGAAATAAACAACTGAAAAAGGCATTATACTTCGAAAGAGTCCTTGTATCATCTAATACATATGATTAAGGCTGGTTGTATCTACTGGTAATGGTTACTATCAGCGAGTAGCCGTACTGTAGCTGGCCGGAACGTGATGGGTTTTGGCGCAGTAAAAAGGCAGGTGTGTTGATAAAAATGTTCATTTCTCGAGGGGAATGGGCTTTTTGCAGCCTACTTTTCCCAAGTCCAACGTCGATCACCTCAGATATCAGGTTGCGCGCGAAACATATAATCATCCGCCTCGCGACCGCTCGCGCAGTTCTCATCTTTAGTGACCTTTATGCCATAGCTCTGACTACTGGATATTAGATGAACTCACCTAACAATGGAACTCCTTCCGAACTATGTGGTACCTTTTCCGTAACGACAAGTGACAATACTGCCATACTAAGTATAGCCGTTACCCCGAGAGTGAATCGCTCCTGAACTGAGACCTGAGCTTTCTAATCATGGAATTGTACTGCAAGTAATTTACCTGTCGTTCGTGTTTTGTAGAAAATCTTGCGAATAAGCCAGCTATTGACAGCATGCATATGATATAACTTGGTAGTACAAGGCTTATAAGGTAGTAAAAAGGTTTCCGGGCTATAACGACAACATAGCGTGCCTCACTGACAACCACTCCTTCATGATCGTAATGATCTTGTCTGATGCTGACGTTCTACAATGGTAATCAGATTTTTGATTAGCTAATCTTCAGTAATAAATTCCTCACATGTAAGGCCCATTCTTCATTTGGCGAGTAGTGCTGGAGATAGGGCTTTCTGGTGGCGTTCAGTCTCAGTTTTTCTTCTCCGTAACCCCACGAAGCGATCTGCAATGCACATCTTCAAACCTTTTTCATTTGGAAAATTTCGGATGTGGTGCAGTAGGATCGAAATCGTCGCGTCGCGGCGAGAGACATGCCGCGGACGAGGGTTTGTAGCAGAGTGCGAATGCAAAATGCTCACCAAGTAAGAAATACAGGAACAAAAGACTAACATTACAATCATGCCTAAAATAATAATCGCATATCGACTAAGCTGTATGAAGAGCGTTAGAACTGTTATAACGATGCGAATGGTCCGCGGCTGTCGCGCGCGGTGAATCGATTACACGAAATCGATCCTACTGCCCGTCTCTCGGATATCTCTTGTTTGACTACGGTTGTGACCGTGAAATCTTAGTGGCTCACCCGTAGTTCACATGTCTGGCTGTCAAATGGAAATTGTGCGATCCCTGAAAGGTTCAGTTTTACTTGCTTCGTAGTCCGTTGGTGAACGAATTTAAGGGTTTGCAGAATCCTTCCCAAATTCGGTCCCCCTTTCGGCAACGTGGGTCTTCTTGTGACAGCCCATCTTATTTTTTCGGGCCACAGGGTATCTAGCTCAGCTTTTTTGTGCTATTTTTTACTTTCTTCACATCGCTGATGAAAAATCACCTGGCATAAACACTTTCATGCATTATCATCATAACCCAGGCCCGAGTGAAGGGGAGGGGCACAAAATGGTCCACTCAGCTATGATTTTAGGATCATCGCTCAGGTTAAGAAAAACTTTGATTTGTTCATTGGTATCGGAGTCATCTGAAGGGATATGCATAGACGCCGTCATGTACAGTATTGGTCTGTTTAGGAAAGATTAAGAAAAATAAGCTAAGGTGTTACCTATCCGACACATGACGGAATATATAGCTGGATATGAGAATGTTACTCGTCCAGTGTACTGTACTCGTACCGGAGATCTCACTGAGTGCAATAATTCCTGATGATTCAACCTGAAAAATATCTTTTGCGGCTGTTCAACAGAATGGGAAATAACCCTGTAAACTGTCAACTTCATTATCAGACTATGTTCAATGGAAGGACATGAAAAAAGACGTGTTGGTCCTACCTAGGTAGCTGATAGAAGTGCAAAGATTTTTTGATTTCAAAATCCGTTTCAAAGTGAATTTTGAAAAAATGGTTGTGTCTCTTCTGAGAGGCGTAGTTCCTTTGTGGCACTGGCGATGGATGATAGCAGTTGGTAGGTGGAATGCTCATTCAAGTTACCGGTATGGAGAGATGAACGGGTACAGGGTACACAAGCGTCGCGACGTGTGAAACACGGCCGTTCTAGAGCAGCGGCGAGGCTGCCAGTTGAGACGACTAGCTAAGACATGGCGCGCGGCGAGGCAACTAGCTAAGAATCGCCGCGCGATGTTAGCGGGTTGGGACTTCTACCGTACATCTCGCGGGGGCGTAATAGTTCCAGGGGAAGACACCCTGGTGCCAGAGACTCATCGCGAAATTGCCAGTCGCCGTTCCCTGACCTAGGGGTACTCCTCGTGGAAGGGTATTTGTGGGACAGTTGTTTTTGTTTGAGCTTATTAGATAATGAGACACTTTGGAAATTAGTGCTACGTCCCATTGTGCAGAGTGGGAGCGAAAATACTGTTTGCCATTACGCTAAGTCAAAAAATATGGCCTACAACATTGTCATTGTACCAACATGTTGAAGACGATGATGTCTGGTACCCAGATGGCCTCTTCTGGAAGCCATGTGACGCGAAGGCCAGAAAAATTTGTTGGATCCCAACTCAGAGTTGGATCATCCCATTCCTGGAAAAACTTTGTGTCGACCAAAAATATTGTAGATTTAAAAGCAAGTAGTATTCGAAGGAACTGGTATCTGACCACCTCAACAACGTAAACAAGTGCAATCATTGTTTGTTTCAGTTCATCGACAGTATGGATATGAACGAGCTCCATTTCGTGAGTAATCACTACGACACCATCTGGAGGAGCGCATCTGAATAGCAACTTCTTCTAAATTCATTGAAATGTGAGAAAGATTGGAGGTAAGCAATCACCAAAACTTGCAAATTCTTAATTAGCTTAGCCAGCAGGTAATGTAAAACTGTAAGTGATTTCCAACAGAAGCTCAAAATGCAAAAGTTTCCCATCAAATGAAAACTCCCCTGAAGCGATTAGGCTACTGAAAAGCTCCTTGGGAGCAGCAGTGGGTAGCCGAATTCACCTATTGCGCGAACGGGTCGTACCTACTCAGACACCTAGTAGTAATGTGAATAGCATGGTACTAGTAACCTTAAAAAGGTATCTGTGCAAAATTTGTTTTTATAACTTCGGCACTTAGATAACATCAATTACAAACAGATCAAGTGGCCCTGTGGCCTAATGGATAAGGCGTCGGACTCCGGATCCGAAGACTGTGGGTTCGAGTCCCACCAGGGTCGGGATTTTTGCTTTATGGTATTGAGCTCAGGAAGGTTCCTTAATACTCGAGACATGGAAGGGGATTTCAAATTCCGGTTTTAGATGTGAATAACAGAAAGTGCTTTCGGTGCTTAAGTGCATGTTTTTCGCTCTCTACTCTTAATCAGCGAATGTTTTGTGGTCCTTTTCCTCTTTCCGGGTTTTTGTAGAAATGTAGCTTCCTAAAGGGTTATTTAGGGTTACAAGGTATTATTAATTAAGCGGACGCTTTTCGGTCCGAAGAGTAGGTTTTTAATTTTATTTTTTTTCTGACCACTAACAAATTTCTGGTGGAGGAAGCGAAGGAATCATTGTGATGCGACACGCCACAAAACACACTCGACTTACTTCTCGTGCTGTTTTAGTAAATGTCGTGTAAGCCGATTTGACGGTCCTGAAACGATAATATGAACTTTGACCAGTCTTCTCATTTTTTCTAATATCCCTTGCATAACATTAGATGACTTTTTAGTAATTTTCAAGGCTTTCCGATGTCTTTTGTTTCAATTAGTAGTTAAAGAGTGGAGCGGGACAAGGATTTTATGGCATGGCGCACTTCACTTTACCCTAACAGCCTCTGCACTAGAAAGCTTCTAAGCAGAGAGGGGCATGACCCTGAAAGCAGCGTGTCTGGGAGATAGAATGATTCTTTAACTAGCGAGTGGTCCGTCGCACTGACCGCGCGGTTTTGTCGCTCGCCTCTCGCGACAAATCCGCGTCCCAATCGTAACTAGACACGTTTACGCAACCCTGCCTCTAATTCTTGTGTCCTCATTCTCCTCTCTGGAGCTGCACTCTGTACTATTCCTTAGCGTATTTTACCATGGAGCGCGTTATTGTCATAAAGGCGAACTTGAAAAGCTGAGCTTGAAAAAAAGGTGGTGTCGGAAAAGCAATGCGATGCCACTCAAAAAATGACAGCACTCTCAAATTCCCTGCATTCTAGTTTCCCTTTTTTTGATCCCGTAACTAAGTCAGGAGACGTACTTCTAGGGATCTATCATCGGATTCGAAAGTTCATTACATGTATTTCCAAAAAGTAAGTAATTGTGTGAACTCAAACGACTTCTGCAAGCCTGTGCAAGATGATTTGAAGTTTTAGGGGGAGTCGCAATGTTTTTAACGTCATTCCTAAGTTGAGGATAAAGTGTTAATAAATTCCTGGGGCGTTAATCAATCCCGTTGGAGGGGTGCGCCCACGCATTCGGCTTCCATTCAGAATCGTAGTGGCGTCTTGAATGCGTATGTAGCCTTGTGGTGGCCAGCCGATGTGCAGGTCAGTGCTTTTATCCTCCCAGACGAGTCTATTACCAATTTTACCAATTAACCAACCCCGGAGAGATGGAAGGCTTGGCTGGCTTAGGCGGATGTTGATCCGTGGTTCGAACCTGTGACCATGCGTGTGTGAAGTGCGCCACTTGCCACTACACCACTTCCATCCTATTTTGAGGTTTACATTGAAAAAATCGAATAAGAATTCAAGAAATGTAAGTTATGTAACTTGTATAACCCAGAACTTATTCTGAGTTGATGGATCCCACCTTAACCGAAAAATCCTATGGAAACCCTGAAAAGCATGGAACCAGTTCGATGATGCAGGGTCGAATAACGCACTTTAGCAGACCATTGTCCAGCCCATATGTAAGTTATTAAGAAGATTTAATTAAATTATTGGAGAGTGGCTAGTGTAGTGCAAAGTGCCGCAGTATCGCAGGTGTATTCCGAAAATTGAATCTGGAGTTGACATCCGTCTGGGCCAAATAAGCCTTCCATCCTTTCCGGGCCAAGGATAAAATGGCAGTGGCTTGTACATCGCCTGGCCACCGAAACTCCCCACCCAAACACTTCCACATTCTATTTAGAAATCTAATGCGTGGGGCATCCCGAGAACGGGAATGATTAATGCTGAAAAATTAGTTGTTTGCTTTCTAATTTATTTACCATTCGATTTTGGCTGACAGCATGTTTTATCCCCAAAAAAAGTTCTGCAAACCTTGATAGCCGACGATGTAGTGTGCAAATGTGAGGGCAATAAATAACACTCCGTTCAGCATTCGACGTCAAACAGTGGGCAGTATTCTCTGGAAAAAATGTGATCCGATAAGTAGACAGATATACGAAAAACCAAAGATTACGCAAGTAATTCAATGTTCGTTACAAGTTGAAACTCGGTATGGATCGGACCAGCAATGGATGTGGAAGAAAAAGTTCGTGTAAATAATGTCCAACTGCAGGGAACCATTAAATTCGGTGAATTTTAAGAGCTAATCTGGTCCCACTTTTCTACGAGAGGCCATATGGAATCCATACGTTTCTCATGAACGTCGCCTCTTTCTGGGTTTCTTCGGCAGGAGAAGATTCATTATGGTTTCCTGGAAGGTACTTTTGAATCAGCTGTTTCTCATACAGCTCTATCACGGGATAAACGTGGTGTGTGTCCTCTAAGATGAACGGAAAATGACTTTGAATTGAATCCGGTTGTATATGTCGGAAGGAACGGCAAAAAAACGCGTAGTCCGCGGCCATCTCTCCACAGTTGCGCCATGTACTTGGTCTTCTCTTGGAAAAGCAAATGTCCAAGTGATTTGCTTAGTGGTATATGAGATCAGTTATTGTACAAATTTACGATATTCATCTTCTAAACGGATGGGTATCGATAGATCCTCCCTGAGTTAGAGACCTAGTAAGTTGGAGCGGGATCCGTGTACATAAACTTGCCATATATGTATTGGGTTGTAACATAAGTTCGTAGAGTTTTTTCACAAAGATTTATTAAAACCAAAAAACAATAATTATAATAATAAATTAACCAATGATGTATCCCCCGTCACTGTTCACGACCTCCTCCC